CTCAAGTTTGAGCAAGAATGTGGAGAAACAAACTCTCATGCACTGATGGTACAATCACTTTGGAAATAGTTTGTAAGTTTTTGAAAATATTAAAGACACCTTCATACCACCCACTAGTTCTCTCTTTAGGAAACTTCCCAAGAGAAATTAAAACATGTCCATGAAATACTTATACACAATACTTATACTTATTCATGGCTGCATTATTTATAATAACGGAAAACTGTAATAATCCAAATGTTCATCAACCTGTGAGAGGATAAACAAAAAATAGTATATTCATTCAATGGAGTATTATTGGGCAATAAAAAAGAATGAAGTACTGATATGTGCTATAATACGTACGGAATTCAAAAACATTATGCTGAATGAAAGAAATCAGACACAAAAGACTATATATTGTTCGATTCCTTTTACATAAAATTCCCAGAAAAGGCAACCTACACACAGTAGATTAATGGTTGCCTGGGACTGGGATGGGAATAGGGGCTGGGTGCAAACAACATAAGAGAGCTTTTTGGAGTGATGGAGATGGTTTAAAACTGGATTGTGGTAATGTAACACCACTCTATACATTTATTAAAAATCATTGATCTGTATACTCTGAATAGATGACTTAACCTTATGGTAAGTAGATCAGACCCCAATAAAGCTTTTTTTTTTTAAAGAAATTATTCTCCTAACCACATTGCTTGAGAGTTACTGGAGTGTCACTATTACTCAGCAATGGTCAGTGGTACTTCCAATCATTTTTAAAAGCCAGGCCAGACTGATCTTTAAAAATTATATCATTATTCTTAATAATATACATTTCTTTGATTTCTAGTGAAACAAAACATTTTCATATATTTGAGTCTGTTTTTTCTTACAAGGAAATACATCTTTTCCATTAAGACTTTTGAGATTTTATTTTTTAAAAATAGCAACCTTTCTTCAGTGCTAGTTGGTACAAATATTTTTCCTAGTTTTTCATTAGTCTTTAAATTTTAACAGTGTTTTTTTTTCCATACTGAAATATTCATTTTCACATAGTCAAATGTATCTGTATTTTCATTTAGAGTCTGTCTGTGTTATAACTTGTGATATTCTTATGAAAGATTAATCAGAAATCTTGAGTATTGCTAGTTAAGCATCCCCTGTGCCAAGCCAAGCACTACTGAGTCTATTTTAAGAAAAAAAGATCAAACCTAACTTCAAATTTCAAAGCAGGAGACAGATAGCCTTTTTTCCCCCTTTACATCTTTATTTTAAGTGTAGAAATACTAATGTTTACATCCCAAATTCATGGAAAACTGTCTCATGAGAGAATTTCTGATGTGACACATCAGGCATTTCTAATAGTTCTAGTGATGAGAAACTGGAAAAATATAAAGAAGGATGGAAAAATGTGTTTGCTGTTGCTAATCATGCCTGGACTATGACTCTAGGCCTCACTGGCTGATGACCCTTTAGTAGAACATCAGATCATCACTGAACAACATGATGAACACAGACAGGCATTGGTGGGTGCCTGAGCCGAAGAGGTAGAACTGAGCCACACACTGTCCCACCACCACGTGAGTCCATAAATATTATAATTTTCCTGCTATTCCACTCACTATTAATAGGTAGCGGCTCATCGACCCCCCCCCACCCATTAGGTAATAAATATATAGGAAAGTCGACTTTATTTCTTTAAATCTCACAAACTCAGTTAGACATGTAATGCTAACTGAAGAACTCACTGTTGAGTGATGTATTGCTTCAAAAAAATACTACATCAGTCATAAAAAACCATTTGGTTTAATGTAGCTGTCATATCCAAAGATACAGGTAAAACAAAGATATGATTAAGAAATATCATAAGAATATTTTACATTAATGTGGATATTATGGGCTTTGAATTGTGTAACGGAGGCCTGCTCATGTAAAGACACAATCGGAAGAGGTATTCAAATGCCTAATAACAGAGAATGACTGTTTTTTCTTTGTATGTGAGTTCTACTCACATTTTCAAGACCATCCCAAATTCAACCTTCTTTCCTTATCTATCCTACAGCTTTTAGAATCTGTACTATATATTCTGGAATATATATACAGGCTTAATATTATTCAATTGTTTTGTATCTACTACTCTCATCACCTCACTGAATTAAATAGAAGCTCCTTGGGAGCAAACTGGCATTAAAGCAGTGCTAGGATTCCAGGTGTTTTTAGCATTATAATTTTATTTATTATATTTTCACTCCAGGTGTTTTATTAGTAATGCCCTTTCTTACTCTGCAGAAGCCTAAGCATGTGCTCACTAAATAATTTTTCTTTATTTCTGGGAAAAGGTAAAAAAAGAGGCGAAGAATGCAAAGTATCATGGGGTACTTTTAAAACTTATAATGTAGAACAGGCCATCCTTCAGTCAAAAAACACTGACCAGTAGTACTATGCAAATGTTTTTGACAGTTACTCCAGATTTATAGATCTCCAAAAGTTAGGCACTGATTTTGTCAGTTCTTGTCTTTGCAGCTAGGCAGGCTTTATTTTACTTAACAACAATGGCTTCCGATATAAGTTCCACTAAACTTCAAGATTCCATCAGGCAGCTCTAAGGTTTAAATGATGGATGGGGTGGCCAAGGCAGCTGCCTCTGTCCAGGTCTTTGAGCTCTAGGTATAAACAAAAAGGCTTCCTATTACTCAAGGAGAGGTTTGTCATCTCTGAAGAATACTCTGATGTCCTGAGGGATGACACACAGATGCCTGTACACAGGTGTGCCCCTAGTCCCAGAATGCCTGGCTTCATGGGGGATCCTTGCCTTATTCCTCCATAGAGAAATAAAACAATAATCAAAGCCAGTTCGTCTACTGCTCTCCTTTTCTTCCCTTCTATTTCCTCAAGAGAGGTGGACACTGAGGGAGAGGTAGAGGTGATGGTTTCACCAACTCCAGCTCTTGAACAACAAGGATTCTACTGTGTCAGGGTCAGTTATACATCAAGGATTCATGCCCATCTAGCCTACTATTCATCTAAATGTGTTAATAATTCCCAGGAAAGGAGATAGTGTCAACTAACCCTCTAAACCATTTCTTTTCTTCTTTTTTTAATATATATTATTTTCTTTATTTCTATTGTTCTACTACAATTGTCTCCATTTTCCCGCCACCACTTTCCCCTGCCCCACTCACCTTCACCTCCCTCCCTCAGTCCTTCCCCACTTTGGCTTTGTCCGTGGGTCCTTTATACATGTTCCTTGATTTGATCTTTCCCCCTCCTTTCCTCCTTACCCCCCTCCCTCCTTCCTGTAAACCATTTCTTGATGATTAGTTCCTTTGACTCTACTAAAATTCCAAACCTTGTCATTAAAGCTCAGATAAAAGGCTGAAAATGGTGGCGTCATGTTAATATCCTTATTTTAGTAGAACAGGGCTGGAAAAACAATACTTTCATAAAAATTAAGTTTAAATAATGAATCTCAAGTATTAGCACTCTCAATAAGCCATCCATCTTCTCAGGCTGGGAGTATCTTTAGATTTCCTAAATTCCTCTTGACACACCCAGCACTAAATAAAGGGAATGAGTATATAATGTTTGAAGTTAACAACTTAGGACCTACAGCATCTAATTAAATCGCTGTTACTTGCTGTTGGTTGGAAAGACGTTGGGTAATTTATGTCTCTAATACCAGTTCAATGGTGAAACACTTCTCAAGGGTGTTCTGAGAATTAAATGAGATACTGTAAGTCAAACTATTCCCACAGAAAGAGACACACAGTATGTGCCAAATAAACTCTAAGATAAAAAAAAACTGGTGTAATTAATTCATTTTTTTTTAAAGAGACAAGTTTCCGTCAAATTTTCAATAATGACAGATAAGGCAAAAGCTTCTGTATTTTTAAGTAATGCATTCACTTAGACACACAAATCAGCCCAGTCTTCAACCGATAAAGCAAGAAATTATCTGTAATTCTGCCTCAAATTTAATACTGTCACTGGTTGACACTGTTGGAAACACTGGGGCAGGCAGCGGAAGGGTGCAAAGCATTTTCTTAGGAACAGCCGCCACACACCTGTTTTCTCTGGGTAGCGGGAAGCCTTCCCTTCCCTCCCTGAGACTCCAAGAGAATTACACGTCCCTGCGCGATATACTTGATGTCCGAGGCCTGCGCGGAAGGGGACATAATAGTCCTCAAGGAGAAGATGAGACTAATGTGACCCCAGTTCTCTCTAGCACATAGGAGCGCGGGAGAGGGCGTACCCCGCCTTCCCCGACTGAGTGTGGGTTTGGGTCGCCACAGCGGATTTGGTGTCCCCAGCCGTTGGCAGCCTCAGTGGGTGACCCAGGCTCTAGGCGCCATCCACTTTGCCCATTGCCAACTGCGCGGATCTCGCCGCGAACTGCGGGGCAAGTCCGGCCACCCCGGGCCCCGCCTGCGCCGTCCCCAGCCCTGATTGACACTAGAGTTGGTACATACGGGTCTGTAGCGGAGGCGAGCAGGGGGGTGAGCGCTATTTTAAACATGGCTTTCCCTCTCCCTTAGACTCAAGAGCCATCGCGACGCACCCAGCCGTGGGCACGGCCCACGTGGGAATAACCCCAACATCTGTCCGACTTACTTATCTTTTTCGATCTCCCTATGCAAGTGCTCGCTTTTTCCCCTCTCGCTGCTTTCCTTCCGCACTAATAACAACTAGGCAGTTTGCAGAGAAAACTCCCTTCATGGAGGGGGGAATGTAAATCGCTTTTGCTTCTTACTGAAGATGGAAATCATTCCACAGAGAATGAGTTCAAAAAGAGGGGAAACCGCGTCGCCTGACAGAAAGTAACACTGAGAGATCGATGGGGACGGTGAGAGGGAGAGAAAAAAGGAAAAATGTCTACAACAAGCATCGGAAAACAAACGTGGACAGCAAAGAGATTCGCAATCTCCGACTTATTACTGAGCGTATTCCGCGCAAGCCATTGCAATGACAAGGTTTGCTGTAAGCACAATTTGAAGGCCTTTGCAATCTTTTCTAGTAAGACTCACCTTTCTCTTCGGCATAATGATTATGTTCGTGCAGCTAAAAAGTAAAGCAACGGGCTGGAACTGCTGGTACCGCCGCTGGATGTTGCCGCCGCCGCTGCAGCTGCTCACGCGCGGGGTACGGCCTCTCCGACCTGTACCTCGGCGGCTCCCTCCAAGGACCCTCTACTCGCTCGCCTCCCCGCTCCTCCAATGAGAACCTCCGGCAGACGGCCGCGAGGCCCCATTGGCTCGGCAACGTTCTAAATTCCATGAGGGCACGCCTACTTGTGCGCGCTCAGTACGCGCTGTTGTAGTTTCCACTTCACGGAAAAAAATCTGCCTGGCGACTGAGCATGCCCAGTTAGACTAGTAAACCCAAAGTCACACGGCCCTGGAGTTTCCATTGTTTTGCTGCGCCCTCTTTGGATTGTGTCAGTGTAGGCGGGCCTTAATAGAAAAGAAAAAGAGTAAGGACGGACAACACATTAACTTCATAATATAAGTATATACACAACAGACACTCTACATTTGTTATTCCCACAGGCTGAAATGAACGGTGTATGATGGAGACTTCTAAGGGTGGGAACATGCTCTGTTCTGGAAGTCTAGCAGTCTCTAAAGGTCTTGGTTTTTCCGTCTAGATGTCTAGTGACAATAATCCCTAAAATTGCTTAGCTCTTATTTTCCTAAAATCTGTTGATTTCAAATCACTCACTAATCCAGGCTGTTTCAAAGTAGGCTTGAAGATGAATAGGATATATTTGTTATGGAAATTTAAAAAAAATGAACAATATCAGAACAGGTTATTTTATATTTGAGGCATATATTTTAATATACATAATTTAAATATGCATAATTTGATGTTTTTCAAAGTTCTGCCAGGCATTAGATGGGACTTACAAAAACACTTCCAAATTTATTTTATGAGATCAGTTTTACTGATACCAAAAGCCATGGCATGGCTTTTTCTTTCTCAAAAGAAAAGAGCTAAGACCAATATCCTTCATAAATATAGACACAAAAATCTTGAACAAAATTTTAGTAAATCAAATCCAACAACATTTAAAAGGATATTACATCATGACCAGTGAGGCTTATCCTGAGAATGCAAAGTTGGTTTAACATCTGAAAATCATCCAATGTAATTCACCATATTAATAGAATAATGGGGAAAAAAACAATATGATGATTTTAACAGATACAGGAAAAGCGCTACTGAATGGGTAAACAAATTGTGGTAAACACATACAATGAAATACTCAGCACTAAAGAGGAACAAAATATTCCTACATGGATAAATGTCAAAGACAAAATATTACCTGAAGGAAGTCAAATACAAAAGACGATGCTAAATAATTCCATTCATGTGAAATTATAGAAAAAGCAAAAATAGGAAAGATTAGTTTCATAATCCTATTAGAAGGCAAAAGTTTACATCACAGGAAAGTATGTTGAAGCCGTATGCTACAAATATTGCTAAATCGACTTTGTTAATTTCAGAATAATCAATTAGTATCCTAGCAAACTCCAGAAGTGGCCAATGACTTTCTTTTTCATAATATCTTAAGGAATTCATGGATTTTTAATTTGGTGTGCTTCAATCTATTGCCGTTATTGCTATTTTTAAAATGCTCATATTGCCCAAGATGAGAACCTTTGCAAATTAGTGTCTATAGATTCTTTGCTTTCAATGGATCATAGTACACTCAAAAGACCTGGCATAAAACCATTTCCTTGCTTTAGAACTGGATAGAAATATCAAGGTTAATAATTTTATGTAAAAATAATATTCATAATGAAGTTGTCTTAGAAGAGAATTAATTTGCAAAGTGCTTGACGGTTTCAAAAAAAAGCCAGTGAAGACATTTTTTTGATAATACGTGTGTAGGAAGGAGACCGTGTAACAAGTGAAATCTGGGTGGAATGTTGTTTTTCTTTATGCAGATGAAAAGGTGTCACAACAAAAGTGGAGCTAGGGTGAGTTTTTTCCTTCTGTGATGAAAACTGACTCATAAAATTGGCTTCTTGATATTTTTTGAGGCTAAACACTCGGTAACAGCAAACAAAATTTGTGAATGTTTTTACTGCACATAGTAAACTGGCTGAAATGAAACTTGCTAGTTGGATAAAGAAAGTTGATTTGGGGGATCTTGGGTCATTTGAGTCTCCTTTGTTAATTTATGAGTGATGAAAATAAGATCTTAAGTTGTAAAATAAATAACAGCATTGGTTCTCTTTCCTTTGAAGTGGATTGCACTTGCCTGAAGAGGACACCGGGGAATGGAAGGTTCTCCTTGTCTCTTCAGTAGCCTTCAAGGTCTGAGAAAAGAAGTGCAGACCTCTTCTGGGAGCCCTAAAGGAAGAAGAATAGGCAAAGAGAATGATTTAGTGGGTAGCTAGAATTCCAGGTTAGAAGATAAAGACACCTGAGGAAAAATGAACATGCCACATGCAAGACAGTGAGGATGCCAGCTTGGTAAAACGTAAAGACTCATTTGTTTATCAGAATATTCCCCTGAGCATTTTTCCTGCTGGGACAGATCAACCTTTAGGGCAGTAAATTCTTCTCTAAAGGATGTGGATACTATCTAAGCCAAGGTAGGCAATGGATGAAAGGATGGAGTTACTGCCTGAGGAAGAAAGAAGGACAAACTCATGAAGAAGCTTCTTTTCCAATTCCAACTCCTCTCCCTTTCTTTCCTACTCAGAGAGATTAGAATCCAACACTTACCTCAGCGTTTTTCAAACAGCAGGACAAAACCATTTATGCTATCCTACTATCGTTAAGGAATTGGGGAAGGGGGGGGGGAGAGAGAGAAAGAAAGAAAAGCCAGGGCATAGAAAGTATCAGAGTGCATATCACATGGTAAAGATAAGTAGTATCTTATAAAATGTTTCCATTTTTCCATACATTCCCACATAAACACACACCACACACAAGTACATATAGGTGGTGGGTTTGTGTATGTGTTTTCTAGGCTATGACTTGAAATGTATTTTTAGGATGGGTCTGGGTGAAAAAACTTTAAAGCTACTGCATTGCCCTAATGAATCTTCTGAATCTTTTGGGCTCCAGCAATTTCTTCCTCTGAAAGAAAGAACCTTAATCTTCAAATCTTGAAAGGAAATTTTGAAAAGAAATCATCACTTGCAAATCACCTCATTCTTGATTTGTCCCTCCTTCCCTCTTTTAAGGAGGTTCACTTAGGATTTTGCTCTAAATAATGGCAAATAACGTGAAGTCAGGTTTAGAATCTATATATTGTTTCTGATAGTTCTGCGATTCCAGGTTATGTTACTGTTCAACAAATAGGCCAAAGAATTCAAGAAGTTGATAAATTTAAGAGTGTAACAAAACAACATCAAAACAAGAAAAAAAGGTGGCAAAAGAATATTCTGTTTCGTTTTATCGATCAAGTCTCTAATTTGATTGGATGTTAACTTTTGAAAAATCCACATTTCTTTTTCACAGTCTCTAGGATAGGCTAAGAACCAACCATCCCAAACCACAGGCGCTGCCTGGTAATAATGCTGATTCCTAGACCCCAACCAACTGAATCAGAATCTTTATGGCTGGACCTAGGAGTCTGCATTTCAAGTAAGTGTCTCATGTGATTTTTTTTGTACTAGAATTTGAGAATTTTGGACTAGGCATTAGCTCTCAAATATTTACTTACTACTGGTACTTTGATCTCAATGATGTATATCTGTGAAAGTTTGTTGATTAATGAACACACTTCTAAAGCAGAGCATAACTCTGTGGTGAAACTCCACCCTGTCCCACAGACCTCATCTTGTGCTTGTGCTTCATCTCTCCTTAATTCCAGGTTTTCTTGGCACTACCTGCTAACTTCATTCACATTCTTCTTCCTCTTCTCATCTTGCAAGGACCCTGAAGAGTGATTAAAAACTGCACACCTCCAGATCCCTAGGAAAACACCTCCTCCCATCTGCCCAGGCAGCAGGTGGCTCCTGGAGCCCCTGACAAGATTAAATTCCCTGGCCCCACATCCTCAATGGGCACCTAACCTGCCCAAAGCCCCATAAACCACAGCCTTGCAAGTCTGTATTACTTCAATGATTGTACAAGCATACCTTGTCATTGCATTAACGGCAAGGGGGACCAGGGTGCCCTGTGCTCTTCCAACAGCAACCCAGTTTTTTTTTTCCCCAGCTTTCAATCAAACTTAATATGTGCAGATTCTTTATCTCTAGTATGTTTTACACATATTTTTCCCCTCCCCCAGTCCTCTTCAGTTTCAATCTCTGTGTTATTTACCTCTCCTTCTTGTTGTTGATGTTTAAACTCACAGGAGTGTAATTAATGTGCTCTTTGTAGCTCCCAAATAACTATTTGGGGAAGAATTAGCTATGCTCGGTAGCTAGAACTAGGGATTGGGCTACTTTTGGTAGCTCATCCCTCTCTGCCAGGTTGTTAGCATGTCCAGTGCCAAAAGCCAGCCATGTTTAAGGAGTGAGAAGTGAAAGGAGGGACTCCTCTAGGTTCAAGGCAAGGACACAGCAAGGTAAGGACACATTCCATTCCCTTAGGGGAAAAGCCACAAGCTGCAAGCTGCCAAAGACTGGTTAAGTGTCATTGCAGAGTTCTCAGCCTGACTAATGCATTCCTGTAGACAACCGCCATTGCCAGCACGTTCTCACGCAGCACCACACCCTCTGCCCCCGGAGCTGGGGATCTTGGCCTCCCATTTCTGATGTCTTCAGCATTTTCTTCAAACCTCAGAATTCTTAAGAATTTGTAAGAAATATCCAGCATCCTTGTCCTGTCATTATTCACAGCGGCCCTGCCTTTTAGGCCAGGTAAGAATATTTCCTTTTCTCAATGAAAGCAAAAAGAAAAAAAAAATCCAAGTTTGGAGAAATGAGAATCAAACAAATAATTCTGGAAAATACCATATAACAATTAGAGATGATTTTTAGGTTAGCTTGGTTAATAGTTATTATTCTGAAGCATAGGGTAAGAGTCAATATAGGCAATAAAATGAGTTTTGCCAGGTTATAAAGAATTCTAGCCACAAGGCAGTAAATATTTATCCAGCAAATGGTGCTACAATCTTTCTGTCTGTTTTTAAGCACAGAGGGTTTTTTGTTATTGCTGTGGTTTTAAAGCATGGGATCATGCTATTCCTATAGAACATCTTATCCATTCCCCTTTTCTCATTCCTATCCCCACTTCTGCTCTTTA